TGTGTTTGTGATTGTGTCTTTGTAGTTGTGTTTGTAGTTGTGTGTTTGTGATTGTGTTTGTGGGTTTGTGATTGTGTTTGTGGTTGTGTGTTTGTGGTTGCGCGTTTGTGGTCGTGTGTTTCTGATTGTGTGTTTGTGGATTTTATCTGGCAAACTATCTGGTTGAGGTCCAGCGGTGCACACTGCGATCGGATCCTTGCGGTTGAGGTCCAGCGGTGCACACTGCGATCGGATCCTTGCGGTTGAGGTCCAGGCGTGCACACTGCGATCGGATTCTTGCGGTCGAGGTCCAGGGATGCACACTGCGATCGGATCCTTGCGGTTGAGGTCCAGGGGTGCACACTGCGAGGGGATCCTTGCGGTTGAGGTCCAGGGGTGCACACTGCGATCCGGAGCTGGCCAGACAAGATCGGCGAAGCAGATTGGCGATGAAGATTGGCGAGGAAGGAAGCAAGGAGGAAGGAGGAAGGAGGAGGACGAGGAGGCGGCGGAGGCGGAGGCGGAGGAAGAACAACTGTGATACAATCTAACAACCCTCACCTGGCAGGTGGGGAACAACATCTTAAAATCACCCGCAAGGAAGGATCCCCAATGATCCACTCCTCCTCCTCCTCCTCCTCCAGTCCCAGGAATTAGCATATTCGGGATCTTAAAAAAATACAAGTCCAGTTTGCACTTGCCTATACGTGATTGAACACGCGGTTTGCCTAATGTTGGTTGCTTCTTTTTTTGAAGCCCCTCTTCGTGGCTTGTCTCCATGCCTCTTCGGCCCCTCTTCGACCCTTTTCAGACCCACGCCGGTGCACGGCACCGCTCGGACCGTCGGCGCTCGGACTGTCGGTGTCGAGTGAGTCACTGGTGTAGACGAGGAAAACGAGGGATTCAGATGAGGAGAACAAAGAACACGGACGTCCAGATTGAACGAGTCTTTTGAAGAACACGACGTCCATATGAAGAACACGGACGTCCATATTTAAGAGTGTGTGTGTGTGTGTGGGAATTATAAACATATATAATAACTACTGTCCATACTGAGACTCGTACGTGTTGGACCTGTCCAAAAATCGTATAGTGTGTGGGGTCATGACTGTACGTTGTTCGTCATCATGCTGCATCCGGTCTACCAGGATCGGGTCAGCTCCGGATCAGGTTCCGCTCTACCGAGGCGAGATTTGGGCTGCTTGGCGGCCTACAGCAGGACCGGCACCATACTCTTCAGGCGAGGGACCCGACACCACGCAGGCCACGCAGTGGTTCTGCGGCTCAATGGGGCACCGGACCCGACACCGAATGGGGACGCGGTCGGGGTGGGGGTGCACCAAACTCTTTCCATTTGGGTGATGTTGATGTAAGATTTTCTCCAGACTGTCTGGGTGTACCCCAACTTTGGTTGACCTTCAACAAGTCACTAGTAGGACATGGATTCCATTGCCTTTGGGGACCCCAAAAGGAATTTCTGGACTTCACGAAGGCCAAGTGTCACCAGTTTTTCCTTCTGGGCTCTCCAGATCGCTAGAACCTTCAATTTTGTGCGTGGTGTTTTCCGAATGCAAAACTTTGTGGTGGGTCCAGACGACGACCCCTCCTCGCGACCTCGTACCACCTCGTACCATTGTAAAGGCTTTGGTTTTGAAGATGGTGTGAATTTGACTTCTTATCACCCGGCCAGGGCTCCTTCTTACAACACAACTTCTATAGGCATATACGCATACAGATGCTTTGTTCAACCAAACACTCGGAGGACCTTCTATCAGCTGCGCCCCAGTTTCCCGACGTCGCGCACCACGTGCTTCAGGGTGGTGGCGCCCATTGCGGCGTCGGGCGTTCCTGCAGCGATGGCCGTGCGCTTTGATAGGTGGGAGAGGTATTATAGTTACTAGAAGTGGACACCCCAGGCCCCCAAAGCATTTCAGGTATCCTGGCCTCTTGGAAGGCGGTCATGACATGTACTGGTACGCCTGATGATCACCTCGGCCATGAAGGGTGATTTGGGACGGTGGATCGGGCGATATGCCTTCAGATCTACAATCACCTCGCCCTCTGCTGGTGACTTGCTAATGTTGAACTTTTGATCAATGATCATATCTGGAGATGCAAGGAGATGTTGGCGAATTCAAATCGCAAATTCCTTGGGTTTTGTTCATCCGTCAACCATGCGGAAGCGTCGGAACCGTAGACGTCCTACTCCCACGACCCCAGTCGATCGAAGAAATCCATCATTCGACACGTGCCTGGGTGGTAAAGGGAGGTGAATGTAGACGATACGGGTGTGTATTTCAATAGACCCCCGATCGCCCTATGTACATCTATGTACTAGATACTATCCTTCCGGGGTCGGAACGCCTGGGAGGTCTCCCAATTCCAGTACATACCCATATGTCATGCTGATTCCAGGTGCTTCATGTCACGTTCCAGGTTGGGCCTTGGGCTTCTGGTCCCGGCGCATGACCGGCCTGCAGGTGGGTGGTCCGGGTGGGATCGGGTGGGTGCGGTTGCAGAGTGGGGGAGCGGTTGCAAGGCGGATCTAAAAGAACACCATGAAAAGCCACAGGTTTGAAGTCCAAATCCCAAGAACTATACGGTCAATTATGATCAATTACTGCATCTCATTTCGGAACTGAGGAAGGGCTGTTGCGACAGAATAAGCCTTCCCTTACGTCGGGGAACGTCAATCATTTCGAGTCATCGAACTCTGAGACCAGCTTTTTTCGCCATGACCATGACCGTTCCAGGGTCAAGCCAACTGGACTTCCCACTTTGGGATTCAAGTGGCTGGAACCCACGCGGAAAGGTGAAGGGTTCCACCGCACGGTTTGGTCACCGATCCTGAGGTTCCGAGAATTCGGCAGACCGGGCTATTGCCTCATTGTTTGCTTCTTCTTTTGGGGTTGATCTGCTTCAGATGGACGTTTGAAGAGTGTGGTCTTCATGGTCATTAATGTATGTCTTTTGGGTTATGTCAGGGTTCGCCCTGGTCAATCATTGCTATGTGGCGACTCCGATCTTCGGGGCCACTTCATATACATCCTTTCATGTACGTTCAATCATGTTCAATCCATATGATATCGCGCACACACACAAGCAATATCGATCCAGAGCCAATTTGCCAGTTTGTGCAGTGCTACCACTCAGAAGACCCGAAGTATAGATGTATACTTAGTTGCCACTGAGTGACACGGAATAGCTGTCATGCCATGTGTTTGCTGCTTGGAGTCACTGGAACCGTACCCACCCGACCCGCCCGTCTGAACACGGCAGGTTTCCACACGGCCGCCCTGGCGGGCGCCTGCGACTAGACTCGAAGGAGGGAACACAGAAGCGTCGGAGACATGGCAAGTTACGCAAGTTAGGTCCAAAGCTCTTACTAAGCTTGGGGGGCGGTGATTCAGATGGAGAAGACGAACATGAGTGGGGATAGAATTCATCCAAGCTAAGGTATATAAGATATATACACTCCCACAAACTAACATGGAAGTGGAGAATGGCCTCTTGGAAGACCATTTTCCTCTACAAACGGGGTGTTTTCCACTTCCATTTTAGTTTTCGGGAGTGTAGTACGTATCATATAGTCGATGTATGGCGATATAGAGCTGCGCCTTTTCTCGGACGGATGGTTTTTTTTTGGAGACGGGAAAGCTGCAGAGAGAGACACGGGAGGGGTCCTTGGTCGTATGGTTGAGTCGGATTCCTACAATTCTAGAAGGAGACTAGTTTCTATGATGGGTGGCTGAACTAGCCCTGATGCTGAGAGTGAGAGCAATTCTTGGTTTACTTGATGCAAACATATGCAAATTACCAACTATTGCCAAAGTTGGCCGCTATAGTCTCTTTGGCAAGCATAACTTTGTCATTTAGATGATGAATGAAGTCCTGCCACACCACCAGAAGAAACACTTCCGGGATACCAAACCGGCGTGTGTTCCTGCCGGTTTGGTACAAGTTGGATGGGATGTGTTTTTTGTCAACCAGATTCTACCAGCCTTGCTATTTCCAGACACCCCCTTTCTTCCCCTAGAACCCCAACCCCGATCCGATCCACCCCACCACACCAATGCCACTCATGCACCACGAACGAAGCCCCACCCTGCCCTTCCTGCAGACTGAGGCACCTTGCCCTTCCTTTCAATGGCAGCATCATGGAGTATCCGTAGCTCCTTCTACTCACACCACCAGCTCTTCATGGTGCACGGAGGGACTCCCCTGGGCGAATGGTGTGGGTAGCTGTGGCAGCCGGGCGCCGGGCGCGGCTGCAGGTCACTGACCAAGGCTCTGACCCCCGTTGATGGACTGTGCCAGTGCAGCTACATCACTGACTTTATTGCAGACAAATGCCCTAACCCCTGATGGTCTTTGAATGGCCAATGACCTTGGCTTCAGGAACGAACATGGCTCTAGGAATGGCTCAGCCGTGCTGTATAGCACATTCTCTTCAACGATGAGATTCGATTGCCGGGGTGGTGCGTGGGGGCTTTGAATTGGCTGTTTCTGAGCTGGGTTCTGACAACACTTGACTCAAATCTTGCTGCGATGTCAGGCATAATAAGACCTTCCTACAGCAACTTTAGCAGCAGAGTCATGGGTCCGTAAATGAACTTGTAAGGAAGAGACTTAGGCAAAGAAGATCTACAGCAGAAGAAGCTAGAAGGGAAAGTGGCTACCAGTAGTAGTGGTGGCGGCGGTAGCGGTAGCGGTAGCGGTAGCGGTAGCGGTAGCTGTAGCAGTAGTAGTATATAGTAGTAGTATATAGTAGTAGTAAGTAGTAGTAGTAGTAGTAGTAGTAGTAGTAGTAGTAGTAGTAGTA